AACACACCAAATCCCTTATGTCTATTCACTTTCTTTATCTGATTTTTGTTGCTTTGACTTTAAATCAACAGAGTTTGTTGCGAAACATTTTAGATCGGCATGAAATGGTGCGGTATGATGTAAAGCAAGTACGTTTTTCACATCTCTGTTCTTTGCTCATTTGTGTTTGATTTAGTATGTTCCTAAAGTCTTGTTAACATGAATGGACGTGCTAACTTATTTTGCAGGTTATCTGTTCAGTTTGTGACACAGAGCAGTCTGTAAGTTCTCTCGACTTGAGTTATAAGCCTTTTTGTTCTGTTTCTATCAATACTTGATTTGTCAAAAAAAATGATCTCCCTTTGGTCCAGGTTGCCCATGTTTGTACAAATTGCGGCATCAACATGGGAGAATACTTTTGCGACGTGTGCATATTCTACGACGATGATGTAATTAAGATATTTTTCCTTCTACCTAGCTAAAATAACTTGTTTCTATGATTTTGTTCTCCATTGATTATAGTCACTTCTAAATTCTTAAACAGTGCTAATCTATGCTTGCTGCAGATTGACAAAGGACAGTTTCATTGTGATGATTGTGGGATCTGCAGGTTAGTAATCACATAAGAAATGCTTACTTTATGCCCATTTCTTACGCTGTGCTGATATTTGGCCAAGCTTTAAAATAAGTAAAATTTATTTGTTGTTTCTGTACATATTCGGATAAGTTTTTTTCCCCCCATCTAAGCAAAAGAATTTACTAATTTCAAATTCTGAGCCAAAATAAAAATTATATATTTTTAAAATTTGCTTATTTACTTATAATTAAACCCTTTAAGCTTTGGAAAACTTTCTCCATTCTGTAACTAATTTGATCTAATTCTGATTCATCATTTAGAGTTGGCGGCCGTGAGAACTTCTTCCACTGCAAGAAGTGTGGTATGCAACTGCTCTTTAGCCTTTTTTTATTGTTACTTTGTCTTCAAACACATTTTTTCAGTTGAATTCCTCATCTTTGCAGTAAAATTGTGAGGATCGAGAAAATATAACGTGTCTTAAGAACATGTTGGATTTTAACACCTTCTCTAAGTTCATCACTACACTTCAATTTCTTCTTACATTTTTATCATAATTATGCAGGCTCTTGTTATGCAGTTAGTTTGCGTAACAATCATTCGTGTGTAGAAAACTCCATGCGACATCACTGTCCTATATGTTACGAGGTTTCCTTGATTTCCATTTTCGAGTTCTTTACTGTTAATCTTGGGTAGTCAAATTGTAACACTGCCCCTTTTTTGTACTTACAGTATCTGTTTGACTCCTTGAAAGACGCAACCGTTATGAAATGTGGACACACCATGCATCGTGAATGTTACCATGAGATGATAAAGCGTGACAAGTAATTTATCAATTTACTTGCAATATACTTCGAGATTCCTTATTTATTTATTTGCTTATTAAAAAATTTTGTACCCGAATTTTTTAAACTGCATTGATGGTGACTTCAGGTACTGTTGCCCAATTTGCTCTAAATCGACCATGGACATGTCTGGAACCTCGAAGAGAATAGATGAAGAGGTAGGTTTTCAGTTAATATTTTTAGCGGTCTTAATTATGAGTACAACATGTGCATTTCTTTTGCCTCCTCAAGCTACTCTGCATATCAGTAGTAGTTTTCTCTTCTTGCAAATTATGCTTTATGGTTCAAAGCTAGTCATAGTACAAGAGATTTTAAGTCTACTTAAAGTTGTTTTGTTATTTTTACTGCGAGAACCTTGTCTATTCATTAACTTCATTGTTCTGCTAAAAACTTGGGGGAACTTCTTTATTGCTTCATTTTCCTTGTCTCCACGCACTTTATCACGGAGACTTTTTGATGTAGAATCAATTGAATTTCAAACTAAGAATTGATAAACCGTAGAAGTTAGAACCAGAAGAAGAAAAAGATGAGAGGGAAGAAACTGGCACAGAGGAAAAGAAACGTAGGAGAAGGAAAAAACGTGGCAACTGCCAATCTTAATTTTTATCAATCAATAATGTAAAATCAACTACAATGAAAATCCAATAAATTGCAGAAAAAATCTAACTTTAAGGACTTGAGCCAATTCGCCACTATAAGCCCAATAACAAGAAATATAAATAATAAAGTCCAATAACAATAAAAATAAATCCCGATCTCGATGATGTCCGCATTAACTCTCCCAGGGTGAGAGAAAATTCTCAACCCTGTCGAGTGGACAAGTCATAAATGCTGCAATTAATCGCCCAACCATAAACTAAGGGGTTGAACGAGTTTCCTCCTGTCCATAAAAGTGTGTCAGCGGTGGTTTGAATTTGGTGTCCCTTGGATGCGTGGAAGGAGAACTAGACAAAGGAAGATCCTACTGACTCCGATAGAGCTCCAATAAGTCTAGGTCAAGCTGCTGTAGTGTATCTCTAGCAATCCATGTGCAATTAGACTCAGGCAGATCAACCCAATGAACAGGAAAGCGTTGAACATCCCCATTTTTAGTCAACACAATCTGTTTATCTAAAATAACATCAATTTTATCTTTGCGTGCTGAGAAACGTGGCATTGGGTTAGAAGTGGCAAGAGATTTAAGGTCAAGGTCCACGGATGGGGGTAGGAAAGGATTATCGGATGGATTGAAATGGCCTTTATAAGCAATTAAATCTTCAATATTGAAAGTATGGTGGTAGCCAAGATATGACGGAAGATCAAGTACATATGCATTTGGACCCACTTGCTTTAAGATTTTAAAAGGACCAGCGCTACGAGCTCACAATTTGGAGGCGGATCCATGTAGGCGTCGCTCCAGTCGAATTCGAATCATAATATAATCTCCAATATTAAAATCAACATGTCTTTTATGCAAATCAGCTTGAAGTTTATATGATGCATTACTAGATTTAAGTTGTTTATTGATCTCAATATGCAAATCATGAAGATGTTGTGCAAATGCTTCAGTTGACCTAGACATTCTAGCATGTGGAGACATCAGAATGAGGTCTAAAGGCTTAAAACCATGAAAAACCTCAAATTGACTCATACCTAACGATCGATTCACGTAACTGTTATATGCAATTTGAGCTGTAGGAAGAATTAAATCTCAATTTCTAAGATTTTCTTGGACCAGTCTTGGTTAACCACTGTTGTTTGATCGTCAGTCTACGGGTGATAGGCAGTAGAAAATTTCAACTTTGTACCAAACTTTTGCTACAACGTTCTCCAAAAGTGACTAGTGAACCAAGCATGCATGTCTGACATCAGGGGCGAATCCAGCCTTTTAGCTCAGCACGGGCGGAGACCGTTGACCGATGACAATCAACGATCGTAATAGCCGAAAATATAATTCAATACATATGTAAATGCACTAAAACGTAAAAAATATATACATATGAAAATATAAGAAAAATTTAGCTATAGCCGTGTTAATCTACCTGTCATATAACTAACTACTAGGCATATGGGAAACAAATAGTAAAACTGTAAAAGATGCCCAAGCTAAAAGAAA